GCAGACTTCTACGACACAGGTATTCAAAAGTTGGTCCCACGGTATGACAAATGTCTCAATTCCGGTGGCGAATATGTTGAAAAATAGCTGGACACTTGCTGTATCTGTTGCAATAAATATTTTCATGAAATTGTGTTTTGTTTCTGTAAACGACCCCAGGGAAACTTACTTTAAGGACGAGCCTCGTATATACGTAAGGTTGTGTGTGTATATATATATATAGATATATATATAATATATACACACACATCCATACATATAACATTTAACCGATGAACAAATTTATATTGTATTTACATAGTTTTGTCTAATTTTCTGGTTGTTTTGATATTACAAATATGAAAGGATGTTACAAATTCGCATGCGTGAGTCTGCATAAAAACTGGAGTCGTGGCGGATGAAATATCTCCTTTTATTATACACCGCTGTACAACAAACACATTGTTAAGCCTTAACTTTGCACTAGCAAAATGAAACGTCATGTTTCAATACACTCAAAGCAAGGTTCTCTGTTCGTTCTAAACTTTTCGCTTCTTGTCGTTCTAAAAGTTTCGCCTGTTTATTATTCTGGATGATGTACAGATTAAGAATAATCAGGGATATAATTTAAATACGAACTGAAAAAGCCGTTGAAACAACAACAAATAACTTTCGTCAGGTTTAGCAAAGTTTGGTTGTAAGCATTCGAGAAATGAAATAGTGTAGATTTTGAAGTGTTGAAATAAAATAAACTTCTGTACCTGAATTTTAATAAAAGTTCTTATCCCGCAGGCTCCTGAAGACTTGCTGAGGGCCATACGAAAGCGAACGTCTTCAGTGGTCATACTCAAGGTCTGTATTCTGTATTTACCGTGTAGTTCTTATCCCCTCCAAGTCGACTAAAATGTTCGAGATAACGTCATCATTTTCTACTAGATTTGATTATAGTGGCAGTGCTTGATGAACATTTGTGCGAATAGAAATATTTGCGAATCTAACTCTTGTTTCTTAATTTATTTAATAACACTTCTTCAAGTGTTTTTATATATCGTTGAATGGAAGGTTAATACTGAATGCTGGTTTAAGAAGAGTGTATAATGAAATGTCACAACCTATTTTAGATTTACCTGAATATTTACTCCCCCAAGAAGGGCTGTGGGAAGGCATAGAAAAGGTCAGTTAAGGACCGAGAATGGAGTTCGGCATTTCTCGAATAAGAAATAGGTGTGTTAACTACGTGGCGTTCCTTCTGCGTAATTCAGAAGAAGCTCTGTTAATTTATACTTGGATATCACTTCCTCTCGACATAACATCCTAGTCACACATTTGACCGACTGTCTTATTTATGTTTGTGGATTATTTGACGTGATGTATTACTGACATGTAATTTCTTATTTTACTTACTTATATAAGTAAAACTTTGAAAGAACATAAATTGACGGTGATTAAGAAGTGACAGGAAACAGGCATCTGGAATCGACCAATAAGTGAGTGTACAAAATTACATGATGAAATTAGTTTGTAATTTCTTTTCACATTATGTGTTGTTCTATATTACTAGCAATTTTGAAGCTGAAATACTCTGCGTTAGCTTTATGCACGTTGAAACAAGAACGCATGAAACAGAAATACGTATATACTCCGACAGGAATTCAGATAAACCATCCTAGTTTTCGGACGGACGGACGGACTCTGTGAGTGACTCGAACGTTAACTCCAACATTTTCCACATTCGCCAACATTTTTGATGCTGTTGATTTTCTTTCCTTGTCTTCCCGAAGCCATTAATTACAGTGTGGTAAGTTTCCAAACACCAGTCCATTGCTGTGTGCCTTTGCTGCTGCTACAGCGCGCGATGTCCCTGTATGTGTGAGCGCTCGCTAACAATTCATTTGAGTCTACATCCTGACATAATAACACAAAACGGCACCCTGAAGCCAGGGATGCTCTAATGCAACTTCTGTGTTACTACTTGCTGTTTGTGTATATATATGTCGGTTATATTTGTGGAGGTCAGTGGTTACTTTCTGACTCGTGCTTCTGTGTCTATGACACTTGGCGCACTTGTGCGAAGTTAGAAATTGCTTGTGTCTGGGGGTTTCGGTAGGGAGGGTGGCTACAATTGTTACGAAACTTAGCTGGTGTTTGTGAGGTCAAGGGAACAGAACATAACTTGAGTATCATAAATTAAGCAAATGTGCTGTAAGTTAACAAATGACGAGCTACATTCCCAGGACAGGGGGTAAAGCTGAATTCTCAGTTGAATTCGTAAGTTAGGAATAATAAAGCATTTTTAAACTATCAGAGAGAATAAAAGTCACTTCGTATGACAGAGTCATATTTTATCCTGGGGACAAATTTAAATCTATTTTAGAGTGTTGTTCGAAAAGTTAATTGCTTATTTAGTAGATCAAGAAATTCCTTTTATGTACTGAACACGGAGGTTCATCTCAAAGGCCATTAGTCTCCTAGGCTACCTTAATAATACTACGTAAAAAATTGAAATCAAGTGACTGCAGAATACATATGTAATCTCATATCACATTATCAGAATAGTTGCAGGTGAGCATTTTTGACTCTCAATAATAATATTATTATTTAGAACCGTGACAGCGACAATCTGTTCTATAAATACACGTGTATGCAATATCTGAATAAGTACCAATGTTTCAAGGAAGAAGGTAGCGTACCAACTGACCGTCTGTGTGTCGATGCTGAGGCAACCGACGCGCTGTGGCGAGCATTCGGATCGGTCTGCACACTTCTTGTTTTTTTTTTCGGGAGTCCATGATATGCAATGTGTGGCAGAAATCCTCACCTGCAGAAAAAGAAACGCAAGACACATGTAACCTGTGAGAGATGAACCGCAGAAAAGAAGTTAACTGTGCAACGGGACACTTCGTGATTGCATGAATATACACAATGTCCCCGAAAAGGCGAATACACATACGGCGGCCACTTGTCAGTCAGTTGGTAACGGCTGTCAGGTGTGCCACTAAGCCAAGGGTAATCATTTTGAGCACCTATACTACGAGGCTGGTCTACAAAGTAAGTTTCCCTGGGGCCGTTTACAGAAACAAAACACAATTTCATGGAAATATTTATTGCAACAGATACAGCAAGTGTCCAGCTATTTTTCAACATATTCGCCACCGGAATTGAGACATTTGTCATACCGTGGGACCAACTTTGGAATCCCTGTGTCGTAGAAGTCTGCCGCCGGGGATTGGAACCACTGTGTGACAACCATCTCCGCCTCTCTGTCATTCTCAAAACGCTGACGCTGACCGGACAGGAATTTCTTGAGGTGTAGGAAAAGATGGAAATCACTGGGAACGAGGTCCGGGCTGTAGGGTGAATGATCAAACACCTCCCAGCTGAACTCCTGCAGGAGACTCGCTGTCCG